CGTCCGTGTAATATATTTTTAAACTTTTAGTTTAAAAAATTATAAAAACTGAACATCCTACAGTATTTTTACAGTCTTTATTTTACAGTTAAAATATATCTTTATCAAATAAAGTCTAATGTTACAAATAATCGGGGATTCCTTTAAGGAGTTTCCCTCTCCTGAACTGACTTTGTAAAGGAAAAAAAAGAGTAAACGTTAACGATTTCGTGTTTCCGGTTTTGTCTACAGACAGGTCGAATTCCTCGACAGACCACTCGGAGCTGTTCTCGCTGCCGTTGGAGAGTCTGAACGGAGGCGATGTGGAGTACCTGAACCAGGCGGCCAAGGAGCTGAAAGCTGCCATGGAGAAGGAGACGGAGGAGGAGTTCAGTTCTGCCATTTGTGGATACAGGACGGCGGTGGATTTACTGATCACTGGAGTTCAGGGTAACTGATCCGGACCTGACTGTAGAACTGCACGGGTGTACCGAGAGATCCACCGAAGTTCAGAAAATATCCAGAAGTACAAAGAAAAACTGTKTTTTCAGTGAAAACATAGGGTTGAATAACTTTACTGAAACTTGTTGCATTATTAAATCTAAAAGAAGCACAACACCGGCTAAAAGAATGCTAGCTGGAGGCTAAAAGGAGCTAAATGCTAGCTGAAAACCAAAAGTAGCAAAGGGCTAGCTAAAATGAGCAAAACACTCGTCAAAACCTGCAAGAAGTTAGTTAAAAGTAGCAAAAAAGTAGTGAAAATGTGGAAAATCCAGTGAATGTCTGATTATTAATTTGTTGTAATAAAATTAAAATGATGACTCTTTCTCAGGCTTCCATCAAATTAAACAGACAGGAGAGTGTATTTTAAAAGCCCACCTCTTTAAGGAAGCTTTTTATGGTTGAATGTACTTTCCAAGGTTAAAACTGAATGATTTTTGCCAATATCTTTGCATGCAAGTTGGTCATTTTAGCTGCCATGTCAAAATATCATCATATCGTTATATAAACCTGATTCAAGATGGCCGCCACGGCCAGCTAACCCTAGAAAAGACAAAAATGGCTATGCTTAGCTTATCATATTGTATCGTTTACATTTATCTTAGTTTAACATTTAAGAGTGGTAGCATGGCCGAGTGGTCCAAGGTGCTGGATTTAGGCTCCAGTCTCTGAGGAGGCGTGGGTTCGAACCCCACYGCTGCTAATGCAGCCCTTGGGGACCCTGTTAGGAGCGCTAATGTAGTGGCAAGTGCTGCAGTCTTAATACCAATGTGTACATGTAAAATCAGACATCATGGCTGTGTCTCAGTTTAGGGGCTGCATCCTCATGAGTACATAGCCCAGCTGGGCCACGTCTTTCCCAGTTTGGGTAGGCTACATGAAACTGCTGTGAAATGAGACAGTCTAGCCTTTGCTTGGTGTAAGTTTGCATGATCACGCACTACCCCCGTTACATGATCGTTTCATATCAGACTTAAAACGTGTTTAGATGTGTATTTACGTCTTTTCACTGGAAGAAGAACTTCACACTTAACACCTATATAAATACAAAACAAAAACAATAATTTAGGTTTAGCTCCAGTATCAGTACTTGTATTTGCATTTTATTTAACATCTTATTGCAGCATGAATTTCATCAGCTAAGTTACTAAACTTACATTTAAAAACTAATTCTTAGGTCCGTGATTCGTTTGCTGTCGGCGCATTGAATCCTGGGATATCCTCAGCCGGGAAGGATACTCAGGTGCAGCCTTGAGTTTTGAGATTTTGTGGGCCGCTTTCTTCGGCCGCATGAGGAGGAGCCTTGGAATTGGGACAGCACTTGGCGCGGGCCAGTGACGTATGCGACTGRCAAATGCGCACTYGTGAGGATGCAGCCCATGTGTCCAAACTATCTCTAGAAAGGTCAATGGCAGGAACGACTTTAGGTGTAAAAATGGTGACTTATTCATGAAACTGTACTCACTGTGGTGACCTTTGAAGAGAGCTGCTGAAAAAAATGTTTCTTAAAAAGAGAGGGAGGTAGTGTGGCGGAGTGGTCTAAGGCACTGGTTTCAGGCTCCAGTCTCTGAGGTGGTGTAGGTTCAAACCTCACTGCTGCAGTCTTGTAATTTTAAGACCACCAATGGACTTCTTTTCCATCAGGTAAAATCAGGTACATGTTCAAAAAACCTCTTAAAAAGTCAATCCCAGGCTACATCAGGAATGGCATCCAGAGTGAAACAGTTGGGTATAGGGATCCAAGTTATCGATTAATGAATTAATCTAAAGTTGATTGATCTTATCTATCAACTAACAATTAATTGATATGCGGCCATTTTCTTAAAAACCTGACATTTCTCTTGAATCAAGTGTTTTTTATAACATGAAGGACTAATTTTTTTACATGGTAAATTTAAAAAGAGTACAGTATTATTTTAACAATTCATTGTGCCAGCTTTGTTAAACACTGACTGAGTAAACAGAAAAATATCAAACTTGGGCATATTTATAAAATATAACAAAACAGGAATTTGTTAGGTTGGAAAACAAAAAGAATAAAACAAGTAAAATGCTTAATCCACCCTGAAGATGAAAAACATCAGATCATTTAAASACGGTAATATTTTAAGATAAAGATTAACTCAAAAACAAACTATAAACATAATAAAATATCCCTGAAAGACATGAGTACAAAGGAGTACTGGCAATTGTTTGTTTACATTCTCTGTGGTTCTATCTGGGCTGGGCTGCACGGCATGATGTGACGTCAGCTACTGTTCATTTGATTGGTTCACTGGCCGGGTTATGGCACACAGTTGAGATTAACGTCAAGTAAATTATTTCTAGCGACTAACTTTTTTGGGGTTTTTTTTCTATCACACGAGTTAAACTCAACAAGGAGAATCTAACGTTAGCCACATTTTGCTTACTGTTCGCTGTCGTCCTGCTCTCTTGTTTTGAATGTCATACTGCTGGATAGTCCGGTACAGCCTTCTGTACTTTTACTTTGAGCTTGATGTAGTCCATTATTATTGTTGTGTCGCAAATAAAACTAAACAAGATTTGCACGACTAATTATTATCCTGCCCACATCGAGACGGCTCTCAGCTCAACAGGACTGAGGCTGAATATAAGTGGTAGAGGCCAGGCTAAGGGCAGTGGTGCCCTCTACTGGTTGAAGTCAAAACTACACTGAAATAAGGTTTAAACGGATGTTTTCAATTAATCGAATAGAAGGAATTTTAATCTAATAAACCATTGTTCGACAATTAATCATAAGTCGATTAATTGTTTGCATCCCTATTTGGATACATGTTAATTGTCCATAAATTAAAAAGATTTACCATCATTCTGCATGTATACATTTAAACAGGGCAGCTAAAAAAGACGTTTCTTTATGAAAGGTGTGTGGTAGCATGGCCGAGCGGTATAAGGTGCTAGATTAAGGCTCCAATCTCCATGCGGGCGTGGGTTTGAATCCCACTGCTCCCTGTTATACAGTAGTTTTGGGTCTTTGGTAGTCATTGCTGCAGTCTTGTAAACTGCAAGCGTTAATCCCAAATTGCATCCAGCGTAAAACTTTTGCAATATCTTTTATATTGTTTCACTCATTGTGGCAATCCTGGAGCAGCTGAAAGGAAAACAAGAAGTTAGTTGATACAGTGTTCCTTTATTTCAGGGTCACCACAGTGGGAGAATGAAAGATGACATCATAAAGATTTGGTAACTACAAGACCCTCACACTGACAGCCATGGTCCCAAGAGTAACGGCAGAGGTGGGATTTGAACCCAYGCCTCCATAGAGACTGGAGCTTAAATCCAACGCCATAGACCACTCGGCCACACTACCACATATCACAACTGTCCTTGTTTCTCCAGGGGTCACCACAATGAGTAGATATTTTTTGAAAACTTTCGAACTACAGTATTTCATATCGTTCCTGATATAACCTGGGATTGATCTTTTCAAAGGAAACTTGGACACATGGTGCCTGATTTTAGTTGTTYACATTAATTACTGTAAAAAGCCTCAGGATTACAAAACTGTAGCACTGAGATAACACTGCATCAGGAATAGGACACCGTTCTTTGACAAATCTTTTTGTTCAGGATGTTCTTTTATTTGGGGGTTGCCACAGTGAGATAAATTAACATTAAAGATTTGGTGACTATAAGACCCATGCAGTGACAAGAACTGGACTGGCAGTGGTGGGATTTGAACCCACACCTCCACAGAGACTGGAGCCTTAATCCAGCACCTTAGACCACTCGGGCACACTACCATGCATTTTTCTTGGGAGTCACCGTTTTTATGCCTAAAGTCCTGCGAGTGACTTTTTCAGAGACAATTTTGACACATTGCCTGATTTTAATTGTTCACATTAGTTACTGTAAAAAGGCCTCAGGATTACAAGAGTGTAGCACTGAGCTAAACCTGCATCAGGAATAGGACGCCTTTCTTTGACAAATCTTTTTGTTCAGGATGTTCCTTTATTTTGGGATCTCCACAGTGAGAGAACTTAACATTAAAGATTTTGTAACTGTGTAAGACCCCTGCACTGAGAACCCCTGTGCCAAGAGTAGGACTTGCAGTGGTGGTAATGGTGGAATATGAACCCACGCCTCCGCAGAGACCGGAGCCTAAATCCAGCGCCTTAGACCACTCGGCCACACTATAGCACTCCTGTTATGAGGAACACTGTTTTTTCTGCAACTCTTTTCCGGGTTCACCACAGTGAATCTAGCCTGGCCTTGCCTTCTTATGCATATCCGCTCAATTCTAGTTTCCCTTCACTGCTACATCTGGGATTTCTCCCATAGACAAGGATTTCACTGGCAGATTTTTAGCCGAACCAATCAGAGAACAGAACGTCGATTTTCTTTGCAGTGTCCGCTAATTAATTTAGCAATGGCAGTGGAGGAAG